AGCTTTACATGATTATCACACACATGTGCCTGTTCACTGTTTTCTCCAACCTCACACACATCTTAGGGCATGCATTCAGAACAGGCATTTTTTTCCCATTAGTGTTTGAGCTTCCAGGCCTCTAGAAGACTGAGGATGTAGATGGTTAGAACCACCTGGGGCGAGAATTGCAGCGTGGTATTGAGTTCTTATGTCTAGTTACTCGCTTCCTAAAAGATGACATCATGCAGCTCTTAATTTGGAGAAGCCTATGTTGTTTTTGTTCCCTTTTTTTTGCATCCTATTCCACAACTGAGAGGGCATTTGCAGAGCTGTGGTTGCTTCTCTGTGAAGCCTAGAGCTGTGACTGCTTTGGTGGAAGGGGATGCTGCATTAATGAGGTTTTTCTGATGGATGAGACCCCACAGCAGCTAGTAGATGTCTGAGCCCCTTGGGTAGATCTTGAGTAATGTCATTTCAAAGAAAAAACATTCTATATTCGCAGTAATGAGTTTGGTGACCATATTAAGTGTGGTCACCCCAGTGCACTATGAACTATGGATGGTAGCCACACTGAATTCTTGGTGCCCTCTTCTGGCCTGCAGGCATACACACAGACAGAATATTGTATACATAATAAATAAATAAATAAATATTTTTTAAAAAAGAGTGGTATAGCTGGGTCTATGTGCAGCTATTTTTAATGGTTTTATTGTTTGTTTTGTTTTTTGAGACAGCCTATTTAGTGCTGGCTGTCCTGGAACTCTTACTCTGTTGTAGACCATGTTGGCCTCAAACTCACAGAGATCCTTAGTATTTTTGAGGAGGCTCTCTACTGATTTTGATACTGAATTCACCAATTTACATTTCCACCAGCAGTGTATAGGGTTGCTCTCAAATTCTCATCATCATCCAGTTATTTGTCTGATGATAGCCCTTCTGGAGTGAGATGGAATTTCAAAGTATGTTCAGTTTAAATTTCACTGTTAACTGAGGATGCTGAACATCTTCTCAAATAGTATCCATTTGTACTTTTTGTTTGTATTTTTTTTTTTGAGACAGTTGTTTCATGTTGCTCAGTTTGGCATGAAAATCATGTAGCTGAGTATTCTCCTTGATCTCCTGCCTTCATTTCTTAATGCTGTGGTAACAGGTCTGACCACCATACCTGATAACATTTCTATTTTTTTTAAGAACTACCTATTTAGTTCATTAACTCATTTAATATGTGGATTGTCTCAGGGGTTTTACTGTTTAATTTCTGCAAATTTTTTAAGGATTTATTTATTTATTTTGCTTAGTGTTCTGTCGGCATGTATGCCTGCATGCCAAAAGAGGGCACCAGATCTCATTACAGATGGTTGTGAGCCACCATGTGGTTGCTGGGAATTGAACTCAGGACCTCTGGAAGAACCTCTGAGCCATCTCTCCAGCCCCAATTTCTGCAACTTTTGTATATTCTAGATACTCAGCTGATGTCTGATGTATAGCTTGAAAGATTTCCCCCCGCAAATCTCTTGGCTTTGTTTTTTGTTTGTTTGTTTGTTTGCTCACTTGCTTGCCTTTGAGGCTTCTTTAGGAGCAATGATTGAAATGTTGTTTATCATTTCTTATATAATGTAAGCAGAGAAATAGAGCCTGGGATTCAGTTGGGAGAACAGCTCCAGCTGTCAATGAAAGTTAATTCATATAGTTTCCATCTGGCAGATGGCAGTGAACGATGGAGGTAACGGACAGGATTAGGCCTGTAAGTTCCTTCCTGGAAGCGAGGAAAAGGTCTGGATTGCACTCCAACCCCACCATTCCAGGTATACATCTGTACCTGGAGTGTTCAGGTGTCCAACACACAAATTCACACTCATACTTGTTCATGATTGGCTTGTGGTAGTTCCCCCAAATGAGAGAATCTCAGTACTTGACTTTCCTTCTAGATGTTTCTCAAGTAACCTAGCCCTGGTTTTGTCCTCCACTGCCAGTCACCACTGTCCACTATGGGACTCTAGTTGCTGTTCCAGGATTGGCCACCTGGACCTGTGCTACAATAAAAGGCAGCACTGGCTTTTTAAAAGTACTGTTTTCAAAAGATTTTTTTTTCAGGCCTCAGGGATTTGGCTCACCAGATGAAAGCACATTCTGGCAAGCCCGAGGACCCGAGTTTGATCCACAGGACCCAAATGATTGAAGGAGGAAATAGACTTTCATAAGTTGTCTTCTCGACCTACACACACAATAAATAAATGTTAAAAATTATTTTGGGGGGGCTGGAGAGATGGCTCAGTGGTTAAGAGCATTGCCTGCTCTTCCAAAGGTCCTGAGTTCAATTCCCAGCAACCACATGGTGGCTCACAACCATCTGCAATGAGATCTGGTGCCCTCTTCTGGCCTGCAGACATACATGTAGACAGAATATTGTATACAAAATAAATATTTTTTAAAAAAATTATTTTGGGGGCCTAGAGAGATGGTTTATCAGTTAAGAACACTTGCTGCTCTTGCAGAGGACCCAAGTTCAGCTCCCAGCACCCACTTCAAGTGGCTCATAACTACCAGTAACTCCAGTTCCAGGGAATCTGGCACCCTCTCCTGAGCTCTCAGGACAGCAGGCACAAAGGTGACGCATACGTACATGCAGGGAAAGACAACATATAAATAAAGAAGTGAAAAATCTTTAGGCTCACTTTTTTGTTCTGAGCATAGTGATGTGTGCATACAGTCTCCTCAGGAGGTTGAGGCAGGAAGAGTGCCTTGACCTTGAGTAACCTGGGTTGTGTAAGCAAGACCTAATCTCAAAAACACCAAAACATTTCTTTCTTCTCCGGTCTTCTTTTTGCTTTTTTTTTTCTTAATTTTTGTTTAAGGTTTTATATTTATTTAATGTTTGTGAGTTACAGAGATGGGGTGGATTTTTACCACAGTATGTGTGTGGTATCAGAGACAGCTTGGCTGAAGTCGGTTCTTTCCTTCTGATACATAGGCTTCAGAGATCAAACTCAAACCTTTAGGCGTGCCAGCAAGGACCTTTACCTACTAAACCAACTGGCAGGCCCTCCTCTTTGACTTTGAGGAGCAATGTCTCGTGGGCTCAAACATGCTGTATAGCCAAGAATAACCAACCTTGAGCTATTGGTCCTCCTGCCTGAATCTCTCCAGTGCTGAGTGCACTGCAACCGATTTTCAGTCTTGACTTAGTAATTAAAACTTTTCCTCAGAGAAAGTGCCAAGCCCAGATGGCTTCACCAGTTTGCACTAAACATTTAAGGAAGAAATAGCACATACATGTGTTTTTCTCTCTGTAAAAGTTGGCTTATTCTGTATGTCAAATTTTGGAACTTACTCATTTTTATAATATATCATAGACTTTCCTTTAATTATGTGTTCTACCATTACTGTGTAGAAAAGTATTCTGTTATACGAGTAGAGGTTGGTTTAGACAGGCATCTGAGTTTTAAACGTGTCCTTTCTCCCCACAGTTATGAAATGCATGTCAGTTACTGCCTTGCTCATTCATTTCACACACATGAACATTGACATGGGGTAGATTCCTTTAAAACTTTTTTTTTATTTTACTCTGCGTGTGTGTATGTGTGTGTATACAAATGTACTCATGGGATACTTGCAGAAGTCAAAGGAAGGCTTTTGATTCTTGGATAACTTCTTAGAGAGTAATTTGGGGGCTAAAGGTATGTAATCTATCTATTCTTTTTTTTAAAAGCTAATTAAATTCAGGTTTAATTTAATTTTGTTTATTTATTTTTAGACAGGGTTTCTCTGTGTTGCTTTGGAGCCAGTCCTGGAACTAGCTCTTGTAGACCAGGCTGGCCTCGAACTCACAGAGATCCGCCTGCCTCTGCCTCCCAAGTGCTGGGATTAAAGGCCTGTGCCACCACCGCCCGGCTATCTATCTGTTCCTAAGTCTAGTCTTCTCAGCCTCTGTGTAACACCTTCTGTGCCTGTCTCTGTCACCCACTTCTTGCTCTGGGTATGATGAGAATTTTTTTAATTTATTTTATTTATTATGTATACAGTGTTCTGTCTGCATGTATGACTGCAGGCCAGAAGGGGACATCAGATCTTATTACAGATGGTTGTGAGCCACCATGTGGTTGCAGGGAATTGAATTCAGGACCTCTTGAAGAACAGTCAGTGCTCTTAACCTCTGAGCCATCTCTCCAGCACTCCCCAATCCCCTAGAGAGAGCTCTTTCTTTCATTCTTGGACTCAGTACTTTCCCTCTCAACTCCAGCATTTGTGTCAGGACCTGCACTGCTGGCTGGCATCTTTAGCTGTTCCGGTACACTCAAGAGGAATCTTGGGACTTTCTGACCATGTAGACTGTGCAGGAACCCATGATGTTTTTCCATGTGACATGATTTATCCATTCCTTTTTAAAAATGTACTTGCTGACTCTAGCATGGTGGCAGGTGACTTAATACCAGCATCCAGTGACAGGATCATGAATTTCAAGCCATCATAAGCTATTTAGCAAAACTCTGATTCAAAAAACCCAAAACTTCATTATCTATCTTTATAAATAGAAAATAAGTTTCCTGAGAACAGAGACTGTATTAGTCTTCCTTGTTAAATTCCTTATTTAAAATATGTTTGGCCTTGTATTTGTTGAATACATTAATTTGCTAATTTAACACTGGCAATTTGTTTAGTGACTAATGAATATTACTGTCTTCATTTTGTTTGTTGGCCATCTTTATTTCTGGATTCTGTCACATTTTTCTACTGAATTGTCTGACTTCTGCATAATAGCTTTATTTTTATTTTATTTTATTTTATTTATTTATTTGAGACAGGATCCTATGTAGCCCTGGCTGTCCTGAAACTCACTATGTAGATAAGGCCAGCTTTGAACTCGCAGAGATCCACCTGCCTCTGCTTCCCAAGTGCCAGAATTAAAGGCATGTGTTTTCACAGTTGGGGCATAATAGCTTATGGAAACATCAAACAAATTGTGATTTCTGCTGACAAAGGTTACCTCTAGTAATTTGTTTGTGGTTTTTGTTTAACAGATTCTGAGATTGAGACCGAGAAGGAGCTATCCATTTTAAACCAGAAATGTTCTGAAGAAGTAAAAACACCAGAATTAATATCACAGAAATTCCCAAAGGCTAATTCACAAACACCTGAATCCCAGGAAGCTTGCTACCATAAAGGTCAGGAAGTAAGTTCTACTCAGAGTTTGAAGCGAGTTGCTAGAGAGGACTCTCCAGTATGTAGGAAACAACTTCCAGAAAATGCCCAGACTCCTGCTTTTGATAGACACTTGAATCCAAGCCAAAGTGTTGTTACAATTCAAAGAAGTAAAACAGGACAGAGAGTCTTTACATGTGACATATGCAATAAAACATTTAAATACAATTCAGACCTAAGTCGGCATCGCAGAAGTCACACCGGGGAGAAGCCTTATGAATGCGGCCCGTGTGGGCGATCCTTTACTCACAGTTCAAACCTCATTCTGCACCAGCGAATTCACACTGGGAACAAACCATTCAAATGTGACGACTGTGGGAAAACTTTTGGGCTCAATTCCTATCTCCGTCTGCATCAGAGAATTCACACTGGAGAAAAGCCTTTTGGGTGTAACGAATGTGGGAAGGCCTTCAGTAGAAGTTCCAGTCTTATTCAGCATCGTATAATCCACACTGGAGAGAAACCTTACAAGTGCAGTGACTGTGGGAAGGCCTTCAGCCAGAGTCCCCAGCTGACTCAGCACCAGAGGATTCATACGGGAGAGAAGCCCCACGGCTGCAGCTGGTGCGGAAAGGCGTTCAGTCGAAATGCAAGCCTCATTCAGCACCAGAGGATTCACACGGGAGAGAAGCCCCACAAGTGCGCTCAGTGTGGGAAAGCCTTCAGCCAGAGCTCCAGCCTTTTCCTTCACCACAGGGTTCACACCGGGGAGAAGCCCTATGTGTGCGGTGAGTGTGGCAGAGCCTTTGGCTTCAATTCTCATCTCACTGAGCACGTCCGGATTCACACTGGGGAGAAGCCCTATGTTTGCAGCGAGTGCGGCAAAGCCTTCAGCCGCAGTTCCACGCTGATGCAGCACCGCAGAGTGCATACAGGGGAGAAGCCCTATCGGTGCACCGAGTGCGGAAAGGCCTTCATCCAGAGCTCCCAGCTCACCCTCCACCAGCGTGTTCACACTGGAGAGAAGCCTTATGAGTGTGGGCTCTGTGGGAAGGCTTTCAGCCGGAGATCAGCCCTCACTCAGCATCAGCGGACTCACATGGGAGAGAGTCCACAGGAGTTTGAGTGTGACCCAGATTTTGTTTATGACTCCAGCCATCTGTCCACGGGAGAGAGACACGACAGGTCCTTCAGCCACAGTGCAAAACTTGTTCTCCAGTGGACAATTCGGAGTGATGAAAAACCTCGGGGGTGCACTGAATGCGGAAAAGCTCTCAGCGCTTCCACACAGCACGTGGAGTTTCAGAAAATTCAAGCTGCCGAGAAACCCTGTAAATGCCAGGAATGTGGGAAAGCTGGCAGTGGCGTGTCCCATATTCAGCATCATGTAACTGGGGTTGGAGAGAAACCACAATTGAATGATGGATCTGAAAGATACTTAATTCATATCAAAAATATTTTTCAAGAAAGACATTTTTAATGTGATGAATGTGGGAAATACTTTAGAAAGTTTGTTTTATATTAGGTAGGACGGCATAATGAAAATTAAACTCTCGCTGGGCAGTGGTGGCGCACGCCTTTAATCCCAGCACTCCGGATGCAGAGACAGGTGGATCTCCGTGAGTTAGAGGCCAGCCTGGTCTACAAGAGCTAGTTCCAGGACAGGCTCCAAAACTACAGAGAAACCCTGTCTCAAAAAACCAAAAAAAGGAAAAGAAAATTAAATTCTCATTAGCAGACTTGCCTCTTAGGAGGCTGGGACCCTATGTGCCTACTGTCTCCACCCACCCCACTCCCCACGTCCAGGGTCCTGACTGACTTAGCACAGCAGGCCACCTTAGCATCAGGTCAAGTTCAGGATTTTAGCAGAGGGCCGAGTTTCAACACTAAAGAGCAGCTGATGGAAGATACGACATATCTCTTCATTGGTGATCGAAAACGAGAAACCCAGAGATCTGGGGAATTAGGTTTGTCACCTTTGAGAATATTGATGATGCTAAGGACAAGATATGGCAAGTATGTGGACGGTCTGAGGACTGAGGTGGCTCTGCCAGTGGCTGGACTCAATATAGATTCTCTAGGTGTAGAGGAGACTGGAGCTTTGGGGAACAGCCACTGTGAGGCAAGGAGAAGGGGCTACAGAGACATCAACACCGAGTGGCAGTTGGTGACCGGAGCTTAGGGCCAGTGACAGTGACAGTGAGGACAGCTACAAAGAGTGAAGCTGCTGGAGGCTCTGGTGGCTGCAGTCTTGCGACAGTCGTGTGCAGAGAACACATCCTGTACTCCCTCTCCCTGCCAGCAGCCTGACTGCTGCTGACACCACGCCGCCTCATTAGCAGGCTTCTTTTTAAAGCAGAGCTGTCCTTGTGTTCTGTTCTGTTTTGTTTAATGTTTTCCAAGTACTTGAGCCACAGGGAGAGGCAGAGTTTGAGGTTTCAGATCAGACAGAGCTACACAGATCCTAAAAAAAAAAGAAAAGCACTTCTGAAAAGCATTTCAGATTTTACTTTTTGTTTTTCCCGTGACTTCCGGTTTTCTCAAGGCTGTCAGTACAAGTACACTTGTGTCAGTTGTCTTTACTGTTGTGTGTGCGACGGGAGGAGCGCTGACTGTACGGCCTCTTTTCTCTGTCTGCCGGCGTCATCCTGTGAGCCTGGGTGCCTCCACTTGGTTCTCTGAGAGCAAGCAAGCGGACTCTGAATCTACGATCTTTTGGAAGTTGAGCAAGCTGTGGATTCTCCATCTCCATATAATATTTCTCAGCGAAGCATGGCTGGATACCAGTTAGCAGCAGGGCTGCCTGAGTCCAGCTTGCACACCTCCCTGCTGTGTGCCCAGTGTCAGTGCAGACAGCGGGAGATTCTAGGTGATGTTTATTTATATTGGACTTTTTACTGGAATGTGTATTACCAAGCCATGGTGATGTATTTGCAATGGCTGAGGAGTTCTAATACCCAGTTTCCTTTGGATTTATCAAGCCAATTAAAAAACTGAAAATCACTATCAATCTACAGGGATGCGGTGTGACTCAGTACAGAGTGTGCCTAGTTTATACAAAACCCTTGGTTTGATTCCAGCACTTTAAAAACTGGGCATTTTGGCATACACCTTTAATTTTAGCATTCCAGATATGGAGGCAGAGGATAAATTCAAGGTTATCCTTAGCTACATAGCAAACTTAGGCTTTAGAGACCAACCTAGGCTACATGATACCCTATCCAAAACAAAACAGAAAACCAACTAAGTAAATAATACCAGCAAGCAAGATAAATTGAAGGATTGCTAGTCATATTGAAGGAAAAAGTAAACATGGGGAATTCATCCTGGAAAATAAAGTTGTCTGCGTAGGCGTTACTATTGCATGCAGGTGAGCTGGATGGCACCACTCTGCCGAGTGAGGGAGAGCACTACAAGTGGTCCCCACTAGTTCTTTCAGGCCCTAACCCTTGGCTTTGATTGACTAGATGCCCCAATTATGTCGCCTAGCTTTCTACAAGTTGCATATTCTTTGATGCCCACAACCCTTGATTGCCAAGTGGTATTGTGGTCCCCACAGATAGGTGAAGATCATCCACATATTGAAGTGGGCACATCTGAGTAGGGAGAATGAATTTCTCCAAAATTTGTCCAAGTATGTGACCAAAAAGACTAGGAGAATCACTGAATCTCATTAATGTTGCTTTCTTCAAGAGTGGGAGTCTTCCCATTCAAAGGCGAAGAGGTCCCTGCCATCAGCTACAAAGGTGCAAGCCCAAAAGTCATTTTTGTTTTCTAAGATAGGGTTTCTCCTGGCTGTCCTGGAATTGCTCTGTAGACCAGGCTGGCCTCGAACTCACAGAAATCCGCCTCACCTCCTGAGTCCTGGGATTAAAGTCATATGCCACCCTTGCCTGACTTAAAAGCCATGTTTTAAATCTATGACACTTTTAAACTTATAATGGTGTTTCTTCCTGAGGAGGGTGTATGTGTTAGGGTGTTGTTACTTGTAACAATCTGATAAATTGCTCTAAGGTCTTTGGCTATTTAATATGATCCATTGTGTTTGACTGGTAGAATTGGGGTGCTGAAGGAGAACATACAGGCTTTAAGAAGTCTCTCTTTTATGAGCTCCTTAATGGTAGGGTTAAGTCCTAGCCTCCTCTCTAAGGATACAGGGTGGTGCCTTCCTTTAGCCACTTGTATAGGGTGACCTAGCTGGTCAGTCAGAGGACCCTGCAGGTCACACTGATTTCCTTTCTGGGACCGAACATTATTAGGTTTGATTTGGTTTTCAACCCAGGAAATCATCAAATTGAAGGAGCTCTTGACTTCATCCTGAATTATGTTAAGTCCAGCTCTCAAGTTGGGTATCAAATCTCTCACCGGTAGGTTGGTTCCTGCTTCTGGAACACAAAGAATCTGTGTTACAGTTTCCTTTTCAGAAATTTGATTGGGATTTTTTCCTCAAAAAGTGGAGGAGAGAATTCTCCCTTCACCTTGGCTACTACCAGATTTTCTGGAGGAAAGGCACATCCTTGGGAGATGTTTAAATAGGGAGGAATGGATGTTGCTGAGTCAAGAAGAGATGCAATTTCTTCCTCCCTAGGAACTACCTTTAAAGGCTCTCAATAGGTCTCAGAAGAAAAATGGTGCCTTTGATCCCTGCCCCCAAGTCGTCATTAAAACTGAGGAGGGTAATCACCCTTTCTCCAGTCTGGGCATTCCTTCCTGGAGTGTCCCACCTTTCCACATTCAAACCTTGTTTTCTCCTGTCCTTGCCATTTCTCCTCCATTCTCCTGCTGTAAGCCCGCCCCCAAGGGGCCTCACTTCCTGAAAGGCATGATGACCTTATTGAGATCCTAAGCTTTGCTCCTGTTTCTGGGGCATTTGATCCACAGAGGAGAGCATGATCTTCCTTTCTCTCCTCATGTCCTCAAGTATGCTCTTGCTGGGGCTCTATCAGCAATTCTTCAAGTTCACTATTCTTCCAGCTTTCTATCCTTAGCAAGTTTTTAGAAATACCTGGTCAACTGTTGGTCACAAAATGTAATTTAAACATCCAGTGGCCAAAGGAATCCTCCAGATTTAATCCAAAATATTTTTTCATTTGGTCCTTTGAGAATTCAGCTGGGCCTTGAATCCTAGCACTCCTGAGGCAGAGGCAGACAGATCTCTGAGTTTGAGGCCAGCTGGTCTACAGAGTGAGTTCTGAGACACAGAGAAACTCTGTCTCAAAAAAATTTTATCTCTTCCTTGTTAATATTCTCAAATCAGCAGATCAGGAACTGATTTTTTCTCTTTCCTAATAATAAGGTCTCTCAGATTCCTAATATGTTCCCAGTGTACTCTGTGGTTACTACCCCAGTGGGGATCCTGACTAGAGGATGTTGCATTGACTGCCAGGACTCCAGGTCCAACTAGGTTCTCCCTGTCCCAGATGTTGATCAGAACCATTCTAGCCATCCCTTCTTCCCAGAGAAAAGAATATAGGATAGACAGTAAAAGAATATAGGATAGACAGTAATTCATCCCAAGTATAAACCTAGAGTCCCAATAATTGATCCAATTGGTTTGTTACTCCATAAGGGTCATCTAGAAAAGTTTTAAGCTCTTTTAAGACTTCTTACTTGAAAACTAATAAGGAGAGCATTCACAAACCCTATTTCACTACCCCCTAAGGGAACCCACTTACAAGTGTGTGCTTTGGCTGGGGAAGGACCTTGTATAGGTTGAGCTTTGGGGATATGCAAATATGAAAATCTCTATATCTGTTTTACATTGTTCTAACTCCAGTTTTAAGTTGGAGTAAGAGGGATTTCTGGGGGGGGGAGTAGGGAGTGAGATAGAAGTGGGAGATGAGTTGGAAGAAGAGTAGGGTCCATATTTCTCCTACAAACAGCATGTTCAAGCCTGTAACATAAATGCCCCACTTCTGGTACTAATTTCGGTCTTAGTTGCTATTCAGTTGCCGTGATGAAATACATTGACCAAGGCAACTTATAAGTGAAGGCACTTACTTGAGGGCTTGCTCACAGTTTTAGAGGGTTAGTCCATAGTTATGGTAGGCTGCTCTGGTGCTGGAGCAATAGCTGAGAGCTCTAATCCAGTCCACAAGTTGCAAGCAGAGAGAGAGAAACTGGACCTGGCATGGACTTAAAATTTCAAAGTCTGCCCCCTACACACACTGTACCATACCTACTTCAACAAGACCACACCTACTAACCCTTTCTCGGTTTCACCAACTGGGGACCAAACATTCAAATACACAAGCCCAAGGGATTGTTCTCATTCAAACCACCACATACCCTGACTTAAATAATTCAAGGGAAAAGAGTTCATTCATCTTACAATTATAGGCTTCAGTCTGTCACTGTGGGGATGCCACAGCACCACAACAGCTGGTTCTAGATTGTATGGACAAAACAGAGCTCTTACCTGCAGGGCCATCCCCAGCCCCTAGAGTTTTGTTCTGTTTGTTTGTTTTTATGACACAGGTTCTCATGTAGCCCAGGATGGCCTGGGATTTGTTACGTAGTCAAAGGTGACCTTGAATTTAAGATCCTCTTCTATCTACCTCTCTAATGCTCTATTATAGGATGCACCAGCTCTGGGTTTGTGTGGTGCTGACAATCAAACTCAGAGTCTTGTGCATTCTATACTAGGCACCCTACAGACAGTTTTGTCTTATGCGCAGTTTTTCTCAAGCACATGATGTAGAAAAGCTTTATTTGGGAAGGAAGAAATGCAGCAACACATTAGAATAGCTATAAAACATTCTGTTTGGCATTGTGTTCCTGCGGGTCTTCTGTCCTGGAAATACACTGGGTAAATTAAAACCATTCCCAGCTTCAGTTCCTTGGGGCCCCCAGATCTCATGGGAAGTGTTGATGAAAAACACAGCTCTGGCTTTAAAAGGAGTAACAGAGGTTATTTTGAGTCAAATTTGAGTGGCCATGGCCTGGGAACATAGATTTCAGCAGTCCCAATGTTAAAGTGGTGACATGAATTTTTTTTTTTTTTTTTTTTTTTTGAGACAGAGTTTCTCTGTGTAGCTTTGGAGCCTGTCCTGGAACTAGATTTTGTAGACCAGGCTAGCCTTGAACTCACAGAGATCCGCCTGCCTCTTCCTCCCGATTGAAGGCATACAACACCACCTCCCAGCTTTACATGAACTTTTATAGTCACAGAACAAAAGAAAATCATAGATCAAGGTATTGCCTTAATACATTGGTTTGAACATCAAATATGTGGAACTCTAGGCTATAATAGTTCTCCGGTGATATAGTGACTTTCTTAGCTTTTGTATTGGTAGAAGCTAGGAGTCCCTTAAACCAATACATTCCAAGGTTTTACATGTTAGTTAAAAGGATGCTAGCTCACAAAGGTGAACAATAAAGAGCTATTAGGGAGACTCAAGATAGCCCAAGGTAATTTGGTTCTGGAACTGCAACATTCTGACTATACATCTCATCAGTCAACCAGTCATCCTTGTAAATATCTTTAGCATTGGTGTGACTTTTCAGTTTTTTTATAAGGGAACTTTAGTTCACAGAAACACCAGGAAAGGCTTGGCTCGATAACATTTGATCTTTTACTTATTGTGGGTTCGGGGACTAGAGGCATTAGGAAGATTTATGACAAAACACTGAAAAAAAAGCAAACACTTAAAGTGAAAGCAAGTGGAACTCAATGTTTCAAGCTTGGAACGTGATTCTGGGGTCATTCTAAGGCCAGGTTACCACCTCTATATGAGCAAAATACAGCCAGGGTGACTTCACAGCTACAGTGGACCTTTGTGTAAAGCTGTAGAGCCCAACCTCTGTCTCCCTGTGTAGGAGGGTCAGGGAGAAACAACAAAACAAAACTCCACCCACCTGCAAACAGGCATTGGGCATTCTCAGTGACTCCAGGAGATGGAGCTAGGAGGCCAGGGTGACCAGAAAAGGAAGAAAACGGGAAGACACGCAGTGGAGTAAATGCCTTCAGACATGACCATGTCGAGAATAAAACACGTAGGATACATGGTA